CATAGCCTGTGAGTATTGTGTAGGTCACGATTAAGGGGGGGCTCCCACTTTTTTTGCTGCCGAATTGGGAATTTCAAGTAAGGCTTGATCGTACTTTACCAAATTTTCTAAGAAAATATCTGATAAACGAAATGATACTTGTACCACGTCGCTGGTTTAGCCTTTAACCCCCCTGTTACCAACGTCATAAGTTATGACATAGTCCAAATTGTACGTCGTAACTTACGACATAGTGTTTTCTTCATATTGGAGTTGGCTCGGAAACGGCGACCTGATACTGAAATCAAATCAAATTTGGGGCCGATCGGATATAAGGCTGGAGAGGTTTTTGCTGCACACACAAAGACAGTACGAGGAAAAGGGTTCAAGTGGACCTTTCCAACTGTCATCATTTGATGAGTGGCCAGAAGTCTTCGGGCACTCTCAGCCATTCCAGATTTTGCCGGCTGAGACGTAAGCAAAATGCCGGTCTCTGTGAGCGCAAGGACCAAAGCTGAGGCTCAAGCGTCGGTGTCAGCGCCCGCCCTGGATCCGCGCCTGGTAGACTTCGGCCACCTGTGGCGCCAGCTCAAGGCCGCGGGGTGGCGGTCGAAGCCTCCCACCGGACTGTCAAACGATTGGGCGTACGTCAGGCCGTCCAGCGAGGTTCCTGCAGAAGGCGAGATTGTGCTCTACGGTATGTTGTGCTATTGCAGTATTACTATGCGTCATTTCTAACTTGGGTTTGTGGTAGGTGAGAGAGCGGTGGTGGAGCACGCGATCACAACCGGACTGATTCAGGATGAAGAGGACAACAGCAGTGGCGAGGAGAGTGGAGATAACGGTGAGGGCAAGAGCGGTGGGGGCGGTGAAGCTGAGAGCGGTGGCGGCGGTGAAGCTGGGAGCGGTGGGGGCGACAGCGGTGATGGAGATATGGTGCGAGCGTCGCAGATTGATTGCATTGTGGCTCTCTCGGCCAACACAGTCGACGCGCTGTTCGAAAGTGACAGCGAGGACGATGGCACACCTGCGTTGTCGCAGAACGCGGTTGGGAGAGCTTTTGGGCTATCCCCGCTACGTGCTGACGCGGTGCATGACTCAGACCAGAGTGTCGTGATCGGAGCTTTCCAGCGGCTGCTCTCGGAGACGGAGCCCGACCTAGAATCTGAGGACGACACGGTGGAGGAGCCGAGAGACGCCAGCGAGGGTGACGACGCTGGAGGACCAGTTGTACCACGCGATCCAGCTGATGTAAACTTGATGAAGGCTGGAGATCTTAGAGAGGAGTACGAGAGTCTGAGTTCAGGCTCCGACTACGGCCAGTTTTCTGACGACGACGACGTGGAGCCTGTCCGTCCTGATCCAGACGAGGACGAGGTATCGGACGACGAGGAGTCGCCCTACATGGATGCCGCTTTCATTGAGGCCCTGGGTGGCACCTTGTCCATCGAGCAGATGGACCAGGAAGCGCTGCGAAACTTTGCCTGGAGCGCGCCTTCGACAGTTTTTGCGGACGATGTGTCCTGCTTTCGCGGATTGGTGCAGGAGACCGCCCATCCAACACCAGAACTTTGCTCGAAGAAAGAATCACCTCTTGAATTGATGTTTTATTTCCTACCGAAGCGCCTGTGGATGCGGATCACCAAAGAGACGAACCGGATGAAAAGGCAGACGGTGGACCATCGAGCGCGTTATGAACGATCGCGGACGTCTAGAACGGAGAACATGCGTACACTTCGTGAACTTCGACGCCGTATTCGTCGGGAGAGCGACTACTCACCGCGCGAGATCTTGTGCGTTATTGGGCTTCTCGTGGCTCATATGTTGAGCCCCACCCGACGCTTTTCGCAGCACTGGGCAATGACCGACGATGGTGCTTTAAGTGCAGGTGCGTTCGGCAAGTACATGAGCCGGAACCGCTGCACGTCGATCCTGCGCGATCTACACTTCGCGAACAATGACAGCCCGAACCGTCAAGACAAGCTGTGGAAGATCCGTGACGTTGTTGATGTACTGCAGGAACGGTTCCTGAGCGCGTGGAAGCCGCCGAATATCATCTCGTTTGACGAAGGTGTCTTGCCGGCGACATCCAGACGCAACACGACCAGGATGTTCATGCCAGACAAGCCTCACCGCTACGGGACCAAGATGTTTATGACATGCGACTCGTTGACTGCGTACTGCCACCGGTAAGCGACGAATGTTTTTTTGTATGATTTGCTAGGTCGTAAGTTATGACTTGATGATTTTGACCGTGCTCTCAATGTCGTATCTTTCAGGTTTGAGATCTATGTCGGAAAACGCCAAGCCAGCGAGTCTGCTGCGCAGGCATATGACCGTAAGACGGGCGCTGCGGCAGTCATCCGCAACCTGAGCACTGTTCTAGCTGGGCATCGTGGCTTCCGGGTTGTGGTCATCGACCGCTTCTATTCGTCCGTAGCCCTCGCCATCCAGCTTCTCTCTATGTCAATCTACGTGATCGGTACGATCATGACGAACCGCCTGGGCTTCAACCGCGACATCGTAGCGGAGCATAAGACGCGACCAAGGCGCATCGAGCGTGGATCCTTCAAGTTCGCAAGATCGACGGCAGTGCCGACCATGGTTTCGTGCCTCTGGTGGGACCGGAAGCCGGTCCACTACCTCGCGACAGGTGTGTCCATGGCAGAGGACAGGATCCAGCGGAACCTGAAGGGGCTCGGGACTTCGATGTTCAAGTGCCCGAAGTTGGTGACGGATTACCAGCGCTGGATGGGAGGAGTCGACGTGCATGACCAGCTCCGCCTCCAGTCCTCCTCCATCCAGCTCTCCTTCAGGTTCCGGAAGTATTATAAGAGTCTTTTCCTCGGACTACTGGACCTGGCGCTCGTCAACGCGTACCTCACGCATAAAGA